TATTTAAATAGCTTCAATTTCTCAGCAGAAAGTTGTAAACACCGCACTAATTAGACCAGTCGTACTTTTTTTTTTTAAAGCAAACAATTCAAGTCTACTATTTGCATAACTTGAAAATCAAGATGTGTAACATCTAATATATAAAAACCAATGCTAAAACTTGTTATATATTTAAATAGCTTTGATTTCTCAGCAGAAAGTTTTACAACTGTCATTCTTTAAATATGTTTATTAAATATGAAAACTTGAACACTTCTGGCATATTAATGGAAAAAATTATTTAAACCATTTGTAATCCTGATACATACACTAAGTTATTTCTTCCTATCTTAGGATAATAAAAAAAATAAATCACTTCTATTTTATGTTCATTCAAATTTGCATTTAATTTCTATTTACATTCATTCAATCCAAAATCAAATAATACAGTAAACTAAATACAAGATGAAAAGCAGAAAAGGTGTTACCCTCATAGCACTCCTAATAAGGCAGCTGAAGAATTTATTTACTCTGATAGATGCAAAGCCAACTTGGGATAGAAGAAATAATAGGTTAAAGAGCAAACACAAACATAGATGAACTCATCTTTCTGATGTTACTCCAGATAATCCACTGAGATAGTCTTGTGCTGTAGTGTTAAGAATCACACAAGAAAAGTACTGTATTAATCAGCAAGAGACCACAGGTTGTATGTGACAAATACTTTATGATAGTTTTGTCCAACTTGCTAGTGTCTACTCCTATGAAAAAAGATAGATGTTTGGACACTGATATTTTTATTTGAGAAATTAACCATTTTCAAAGCCTCAAAATCCATTCTTCATAAATTCAACATTTCTCATGGGAATAATCTTAGATCTAGCCCTTGTAAGCTAGGAAACATATGTTTAACTAAATATTCAAAATATTTAGATCCTGTGTTAAATATAAAATCTGAGGCTCAGTATATTATCTAAGATGCATCTTATTTATAATCATTTATTACCTACATTAAAGAATGTTGAATTTATGGAGTATCATACATGCATCCTCCCCCCAGCCCAAAATTATCTTCTATCTCAAAAAATAGTATGGAAAAAATCCTTCTTGAAGGATTGAAATTAGTTAAGACCATAAAGGGGAAAAAGAAATAACATAATTTTCCTAAAAATCTGGTTCAAGTTCAATAATTAATACTTTACATTGTTAATCACAGCTGGTTTATAAATCCCAGTTTAGTTATTCTGTAATGCTACAAACCTTATAAAATCAAATTAGTAAACTTCTGTGATTACATTTTAATTAAAAAACAGCATGTATAAAATAAAAAAATATCTTGTAATAGCTGATTTTAAAGGAAATAAGTGATGAAAGAAAAGCACTTA